TGCGGCGGCGGCGGTCGCAACGACGGCTGCGGCGACGGCGGCGGCGTGGACGACGGCTGCGACAGCGGTGGCGACTACGACTGCGGAGGCGGCGGAGGAGGGGACACCTGAGAAGGGGCAGGTGGCGAGGACTGCACTGCAGGACTACCAGAGTCAGTAGACTCCTCAACTGGTACAACCGACGTTTGCAGTCCTGAAGTGTGCAATCCAGAGTTGCCGAGTTGAGTGTCTTGGGCGCTGGGTGAGCCCGTAGAGGTTTTCTTGCCCTTGCTGTCCATGACTTGTAATCAATGAATTCGTTGGTGTGCAGATTGTAGATAGAGCGTAGTTGCTGGGAGTTTGGTCTCTGACCAGCTCTCATACCATGTTGGGCTGAGAAATGCCCTTAGGATCTTTCCAAAGACTAACTCCCCGTTGTAAAAGGAGAATTGAGTAGTGCAGCGGAAGTTGAGTAGTTGAACCCTTGTACTAGTATGTGAGAACAAGTGATTTCATTAAAAGAACAAGCATACAGCAATATATAGAAAGTAGGAAAGTAAAGCAGTTGTAGAATACAGTTGAAGAGCGGTTATCGAGTCGCACAGCGACTCGATTGTCGCTTCGGTTGCCATCCTTGCAGTTGTAACGGTCAGTCGCAACCTCCGGTTGCGACCCTTCGAGTCCTTTCGTGTTCTTTGTCCATCCCCTCGTGTAACCTCCGTTGACTCGCGTACCCGTTACGATCTTTTTCGAGTGTGGTGTTACACTTCAGAAACGCTTTAGTCCTTGAGGTATTTCCAACACTTTTAATCAATCACTTGCTCTCACATACTAGTGCAAGGGTTCAACTACTCAACTTCCGCTGCACCACTCAAGTATCTCGTACAATTGGGACTTAGTCTCTGAAAAGATCCTAAGGGCTTTTCTCAGCCCAACACACTTCAACATTACGTTGTGTAATAGACACGGTTACGACATTTGGTGGTGTTTTTGCATTGTAATGAACTTTCAACCCCTTCTAAAAAAACATAAAAATATATAGTTGGAAGAGTATGAGAAGTATTAACCGAGTGGATAGAGCATTGATGATTTTGGCTTCACAATACATAAATGTGTTGGTCCTGAAAATGTGGTATGCCTTTGGTAAGGCAGCATAAGTCCGGTTAAAGTGTATGTGTGCTAAAAGGGGATAATTGTAATCACTATCTGGATAACTGAGGGATAGTTCTGCAGCATCAATACTTCTACACACTGCCACCCAACATCACCATGCTCGCCTGACCCGCTGCGATGCCATGCGACACCACGAGCGATACGTTCGATCGCAGTCCCCCGCAACGTGCCCCTCCGCCTTCCACCCCGCCCTTCCGCCCGCCGCGCTGCTTCTCGTCCTCGCGGTCGCCATCGCCGTCGCGCTCGCTTTTGCGCCATGGCGCGCGCAGCCCGCACCACCGCTGATGTTGGGGAACCCGCACCAGGCGGGCTGGGCGGAGAGCGCGCAGTTGCGCGAGGTAGGGGGAGTGGCAGCGGTGCGAGCGGGCCGTTGCTGGACATGGCGGAGGGGCAGGAGGTGCGGGGGAGGGGAGTGAGGGGGACGGGGACGAGAAGGGAGGAGACGAAAGCAGGAGCGAGAGAGGTGGGGTCGAGGAGACAGCGGAAGGGGGGAACGGTTGGGGTGAGAATGGGGGTGGCGGGGATGGCGCGAGTGGGAGTGGCGCGAGTAAGGCAGGGCCAGCAGGTGAGGCGAATGCAGCAGAGGGCGAGGCGGGTGAGAGGCGCGGAGGGGAGATAGCAGCGGCAGCAGCGGCGGCAGCAGCAGCAGTGCATGGAGGGGTGGCGAGGCCGCTGAGGCTGGTGGTGGTGCACGAGGCAGCAGCAGCGGGGGCTGGTGAGAGGCAGGGGTGGGGTGTCTAACGACTCGTGCTGCACTGTGGTGGTGTGTCTGCAGTTGCGTCTTTGCCATGCTGTGGTGCATGCACATGCCATTCCGTGCCACCATCTCCTCCTATGTGCACCCCCCTGCCTGTGAGCGTGGCATGCAGTGTGTCTGGACGGGTCACCGCCGGCCTACTACTACCGCAGGGGCATGGAGGCGGCAGCAACAAGTGGTTCTTCCACTTCCAGGTGCCCCTCTCGCTTCCACTCTTCCCTCCTCCCACCCCCCCCTCCCCTCCCCCCCCCACCTTTCCACTTTCCCCCCACCCTTCTGCGTTGTGAGCCGCTGCTGTGCAAGCCTTGCTGGCATGCACGCTTCTGTCTCGCTTGCATTCATGCGTGCACTAACTTGCATTCATGCGTGCACTCACTTGCATTCATGCGTGCACTCACTTGCATTCATGCGTGCACTCACTTGCATTCATGCGTGCACTCACTTGCATTCATGCGTGCACTCACGTAGTGTGGCATGGGCTGGGTGGCATTGCATGGGCATGGGCATGGGCGTGGGCATGGGCATGGGCATGGGCATGGGCATGGGCATGGGCATGGGCATGGGCATGGGATTGGCCGTGCGTGGCAGGGCGGCGCATGGTGCAGCAGCGAGGAGGAGTGTCGACAGCGCAGCCTCACTCCCCTGGGGTCGTCGCGCCTGCTGCCCGCCACCGCTGACGCCCCTGGCGTGTTCAGCGACGACCCGTCCGTCAACCCAGGTGCGGACTCAAGCTCAGCTTCGCCACTCCCTCCTTGCTGCTCTCGTTGTTGCCCTCGTTGCTGCCCTCGTTGCTGCCACACCATGCATGCTCGTGCACCCATCAAATACACCCAGTGTTGGAGATAGGCTGCAATTCGGTTAACACAACTTTGTGTGTTGGCAACTTTGTTGGTTTTAGGATACACAAATTTGTTAGGTTGGGTGTAGCTATGTTGTCATCCCCAACCTATCCCAACCCAATCCATCCCAAATCCCCACGATTTGGGAGGATTCCCTTGGGATTCCCTTCGATTCTCCCTTATCCCTTGCCATCCTCTCCGATGCTCGGTACTTAAGGATGTATGCTCTTGCTCATTTCAAATCAATCAAGTTCTCAGTTTCTGATATGGTGTCAGAGCCCGTTTCCGCCTAAGCGGCTCTTGATCCTCTCGCTCCGTTGGAGCTTAGCATTTGCGTCTTACGACGCAAAGCATTTCTACTCGCCTCAACTCAGCGCGGCGCTTCTCTTCGGGCTGACGCCCGTCGCCACGCATCTGCTCGTCGCACCTGATCGGGCTGAGCCCGTCGCCCCGGCATCTGCTCGTCGCACCTGATCGGGCTGAGCCGTCGCCCCGCATCTGCTCGTCGCACCTGATCGGGCTGAGCTCGTCGCCCGCATCTGCTCGTCGCACCTGATCGGGCTGAGCCCGTCGCCCCCGCATCTGCTCGTCGAAGCTGAACGGGCTGTCGCCCGTCGCCCTTGCAACAGCGGGGGGGTGCAGCGGCGAAGCGGAAAGGGGGCAGCGGCCGAAGCGGAAAAGGGAAAGGGGGGGTTGGGTCGCGGAGCAGCGGGATTGCAGCAGCATATCGAGAATTGATAAAGATTTCGGCGATCAGATTTCCTTCTTAATCGGCCGTTTTCGCTCTCCGAGCGTTGAAAATCCGCAAAAGAAAATCTGGTTTTTCGCAGAGCCCGCGCCGCGCGCGAAGTGCCTATCGGCGACTTAAGAGCTGCGCTTCGCGCGGAGCTAGGGTCCTTGGAGCATCATGCGTACCCTTCCGCATCTCTCTCAAACCCGATCACTCCCTTGCGCCTCGACCCAAATGGCTCAAGCCCTAACTTCAAGGAGTGGAGCTATGGGGTTGACAAGCATCTCCTAAGCCGCAAGATTGAGGGGATTTGCCTCAAGGATGTCCTCCACAATCGCGGCAAAGGGAAAGATGCCGATCCTTCCCAAGAAGCTCTCAGCCACGGCCACAGAGGAAGAAGTCAAAAGCGCATGAGGAATCCATGTCCAAGTATGAGGAATCTTACAGCGTGTGGGAGCAAGCCGACGGACGCTATCATTGGCGTCTTCGTCGGCACTACCCCTTCCGAGCTCGTCAAAACTTACCATAACTACCCCTTCTGCGCACGCCATTTGGGAGTACCTCAACGACCACTTCCTCAACAAAACCGCTGTGGGGCGTGGCGATACTCATCCCCCGCATGTTTCAAGTGCGTCTGGAGGAGTGCCCTGGAATGGCAGATTACGTCGCTGAGATTTAAGGGGATTCATCAGGAGCTGAAGCAACTCGGCATTGTCTTCCCAGAGCAAGCCCCTGCAACAGCTCTGCTTGTTGGGGCTAACCCCTCCTACAATGTCACCCGCTCCATGCTTCTCCATCTCCCGCCAGAAAGAGCTAACCTTTGCCGAAGTCTCTTCCGCACTTCTCTCTGGCTGAAAAAGACAACACTGCGCAGGCTCGTGGCAAATGCGCTTCGCGCTCCTGTCCCGGCTCCAGCATCGCATCCCAATCCGCCACCACTCGTAACCGCTACCCACCCTGTCCTTACGTCATCAAGATGGGACCCCGTGCGGGTCAGGTGTGCGGCGGCACAATCACCCGCTCGCCACCTGCTTCAAGAAGAAGGACGACGACTGGTTCGCCAAGAAATGGTATCAACTCCAAGCCGCCCAACTGGCTTCGGCATGCGCCAGCTCAACCATGTTGAGGCACAGGATAGTCAGGACTCAGCCGTTCATGCCCTAGTCCTGATGTTCGTCTCAACCTGTTGTTCCCTGGCCTTCCCATGATCAATGAAACCAGTTCCCAGTACTCGGCGTCTCCACAAACACCATCCAAACCACTTGAATTCGTCCTGGACAGCGGCGCAACCCACACAGTCCTCCGAGACAAAGAGTCTTTCCAAACCATACCAAGCACCCATTCCTCTCCTGGGCGCTGACTCCAGCTTCTCAACTGTTGCCCATGGTTCCTCCACTCTTCCATGCCCAGCCTTCCCATCTGGCACAGTCACTGGCCTATGCGTGCCCACTCTTCGCACAACTTACTTGCACAACATGAGATTCAACGAGCAGGGGTAACCACTATCTTCCCAGCTCATTCCAATCATTGTGATCTCCTTGATCCCACCAACAATGCCCTCCTTGCACGCTTCATACTGACCGCCAACAACCTCTACACACTCCAAGTACCTCCATCTTCCACTGAAGCACACTCTACCTCCACCACATATCATGCTCCTGCCGTCAACTCACGACCCAACCATTCTTTACCACCATCGTCTCGGACATCCCAACTTCCGCATGCTCTCCGAACTTGCGTCTAGGAAGTTGCTTCTTCACCTGCCCGACACACTTCCTCCACCCGCCACTTTCCCGCTCCTCCATGCTTGGACTGCGCGCAAAGCAAACTACGCCAGTTGCCTCACCCTTCCTCGCCCTCTGCTGCAGCCGCCCCGCTTGACCTCGTCCACATGGACGTCTGGGGCCCAGCTCCAGTCCGCTCTCGTGGCGGGCACTCTTACTTCCTAGTGCTCGTTGACGATCACTCTCGCTATGCCTCCGTCCACCTACTCTCCTCCAAAGCAGCTGTTCCAGATGTCGTCATCGCATGGCTTCGACAAGCCCAAAATCATTTCCGCACTTCAGTCAAGTGCCTCCATTCCGATGGCGGTGGCGAATTTCGAAACCATTCCCTTCAAGCGTTCTGTGCCTCCCAAGGCATTCGCCAGACCTTCACCCTTCCCCACAGTCCGCAGCAGAATGGCATTGCCGAAAGTCGCAATCGCACTCTCGTGCAAATCGCTCGCTGTCTTCTCACTCACGCTGGTGCACCACCTTCCCTTTGGGTTACGCCCTCCTTCATGCCACGCTGCTGTACAACCTTCACCCTCACCCTCTTCGGCCTGCCATCACTCCCGCTGAACTGTGGACCGGCACCAAGCCCAGTGCACGTCCTCTCCGCGTATGGGGGTGTACAGCTTATGTCCTCCTCAACCCTCAGGAACGTCGCACCCGGCGGCAAATTTGCACCCAAAGCTCAACCCTGTGTCTACCTCGGCCACAACCTGGACTCTCCCGATTACCTTTTCCTCAATCTCTCCACCAATCAGCTCATTCGTAGCCGCGATGTCGCCTTTGACGAGAGTCGCCCTTTTTACCTCTCTTCACCACCCCCACCGCTCCACCTTCGCTTGTGTGGGCCGATTTCGATACTTCACCCCCCACCTCCTCCCTCTGCCTCCTGCGGCCCCCTCACTCTCACCTTCCCCATCTCCTTCCACTCTCTCTCACCCCTCTTCGCCCACTGGCTCAGTTGCCCGTTCACCTCCGCCCGCGCCTGCACTTCCCCCTGCACCCGCTCCTGCAGCTGCCCCTCCACCTCCCTCTCCTTCTGTGGCTCCCCCTGCCCCGCACCTCCTCCCCGCCTTCACCTCCGCTTCCGCCTCCAACCTCCACCTCTCCTCCCGACTCGCCCATCACCTATCGTCGCCGTCGCCACGGACGCTCTTATGTCGATGTCCCACCTGCTCCCCCGCCACCTCCCTCCTCTCCTGTCCCTATTGCTCACCGCACCCGCTCTCATGGTCCCGCTCCGCCTCTCGCCCTCTCTGTTCGCATCTCCCTCAATCCGCCTCCTCCTGCCGGGGGTGCATCCATGCCTGGCCTCTTGGAGGATAGGCATGAGGAGCTGATTGAGATCAATGCTGCCATCCGTCAGCTCTGCCATCTCTTCCCCGACCTTGCCGACGCTCCAACTCTTAACTTCTCGGAAAATCCATCCATCCCGACCCCGAACTCATATGATGAAGCCATCTCTGGACCACACTCCCCCCAGTGGCTCGCAGCCATGATCGCGGAGTGTGAAGCATTCATTCGCAACAACTCTTTCACGGACGTCTCTCCTCCGCGAGGAGTTAACATTGTCCGTGGCAAATGGGTTTTTCGCGTCAAGCAGCTGCCTGGCGAACTCCCAGTCTTCAAGGCGCGATACTGTGCAAAAGGCTTCACGCAGAAGAAGGGCCTGGACTTCTTCGACACATTCTCTCCGACAGCCAAACTGCCCACACTTCGGACCCTGCTGGACATCGCTGCTCGATGCAACTTTGACGTTCACTCCATGGACGTCTCTGCTGCATTTCTCCAAGGGGATCTCCCCGAGGACATCTACATGGAACGTCCTCAAGGATTTCCCTTACCCTTTCCACCCGGCACGGTCTGGAAGCTGAATCGACCAGTCTACGGGTTGAAGCAGGCTCCTCGGGAATGGCACAAGAAGCTGAAGGCAACCCTCGAGTCACTCGACTTCCACCCCTCCTCAGCCGATCCGAGTCTCTTCATTCGCAAGAACGACAACCCGTTCTTCATCCTTGTCTACGTTGACGAATGATTCTCGTCTCCAAGGACTCCGATCAGCTGGCAGCTGTTAAGCAAGCTCTTGGGGACGCTCTCGCCATGAAGGACCTCGGTGAACTCAAGAACTACCTTGGGATGGAAATCTCGCGGGATCGCGAAGCTCGAACCATCACTCTCTCTCAAGAGTTCTATGTGAACAACGTCCTCAAGCGTTTTGCCATGGACAACGCCAAGCCAGTGGCCACTCCCCTTCCCTTGCAGCATGATCTGACCACTCCATCAGTTCCATCGCCTGAGCCTTGTGATGAGGCATACCCCGAGCTCGTCGGATCACTCATGTATGCGATGATGTGCACAAGGCCCGACCTCGCCTACCCCATCAGTGTGCTCTCGCGTTACGTTGCTGCCGGTCGATACACCAATCGCCACTGGTCGGCTGCTAAGCGCGTCCTTCGCTACCTCCAAGCCACCAAGGACTACGTCCTCACTCTCGGTGGCACGACCCCTCCTCACCTCGAGGGATACAGCGACTCCTCATGGGCTGATGATCAAGCTGACCGCCGCTCTTCCCAAGGCTATTGCTTCACCCTTGGCAGTGGTGTCATCAGCTGGCGATCTACACGCTCATCATCCGTCTCATTGTCATCTTGCGAAGCTGAGTTATACGCAGGCACCATGGCAGCCCAAGAAGCTCGATGGCTTACCTACCTCATGGCTGAGCTCGGGTATCCTCAGCAGACCCCGACTCTGTGGTGTGATAACGAGAGCACTATCCACCTCACCAAAGATCCTGTCTTCCACCAACGAACCAAGCACATCGAATTGAGACACTTCTTCATGCGCGAGCTCGTCCAGCGAGGGCAGTTGTGCGTCAAGCATATTTCCTCTGACTGCAACCTCGCCGACTTGTTTACGAAGGCTCTTGGACGCCGTGATCACTATCGTCTCCTCCGTACCATGGGACTTGGCGTCCCTACGGCTTCCGACGTTGCAGCCTAGGGGGTGTGTTAGAGATAGGCTGCAATTCGGTTGGCACAATTTTGTGTGTTGACACTTTGTTGGTTTTAGGGATACACATATTTGTTAGGTTGGGTGTAGCTATGTTTTCATCCCCAACCTATCCCAACCCAATCCATCCCAAATCCCCACGATTTGGGAGGATTCCCTTGGGATTCCCTCGATTCTCCCTTATCCCTTCCCATCCTCTCCGATGCTCGGTACTTAAGGATGTATGCTCTTGCTCATTTCAATCAATCAAGTTCTCAGTTTCTGATACCCGGCTCGTCCATCATGCTGGCGTGTAGCTCAGGCGGCCTAATCTAAGCACAAGATGGGTTCTACCCCATGTTTGCATGTGTCTACCGCATGGCTGGTATGTGTCTACCCCATGTTTGCATGTGTCTACCGCATGGCTGGTATGTGTCTGCCCCATGTTTGCATGTGCCTACCGCATGGCTGGTATGTGTCTGCCCCATGTTTGCATGTCTCTACCGCATGGCTGGTATGTGTCTACCTCATGTTTGCATGTGTCTACCGCATGGCTGGTATGTGTCTGCCCCATGTTTGCATGTGTCTGCCGCATGGCTGGTATGTGTCTGCCCCATGTTTGCATGTGCCTACCGCTTGGGTGGTATGTGTCTGCCCCATGTTTGCATGTGTCTACCGCATGGCTGGTATGTGTCTACCCCATGTTTGCATGTGTCTACCGCATGGCTGGTATGTGTCTACCCCATGTTTGCGTGTGTCTACTGCATGGCTGGTATGTGTCTACCCCATGTTTGCATATGTCTACCGCATGGCTGGTATGTGTGTACCCCATGTTTGAATGTGTTTCCTGCATGGTGTGTATGTGTGTAGCCTTGGCTGGCATGGCATGGCATGGCTTAATGTGGCACGGCAGGCATGCACGAGTGGAACATGGTGAAGCTCGCTTACTGCGATGGCGGGTCATTCGCCGGCCATCGACCCGACCCCGTGCCTGTGCAGGTCAGCACACCCATCCGCCCGTGCAGGTCAGCACACCCATCCGCCCGTTGCGATGAAGTCTCGTCCCGCTACTCCACTCACTCAAGCACGAGGAACAGCTTAACAGCCACAAGGGGCAGTTCGGGGGTGTATCGTGCGCCGCGCGTGAGGTGCCTGACGAGCCATCTCCCAGGTATAGAGTGAGCCGGGGATTGCTTCAGACGAGTGCACCACGGCCCAGCTAGTGCAGACGAGGGGCGTTGTTGTGGTGCCCTGTCAGCACTGGCTGCATGGCATGCATACACTTCCACTGATGCGCCAACCAGAATAGGCCTTCTGTGTTAGCCTCTCAATGTCACATGTGTCGCAATCATGCTGCGATACACCTTGCAATTTTTCTCCCTTCCTCACAGCACCGCCTGTTCGGTATTCCCTTCATCCACTTTTGAGTCGACTCAAAAATATTCCCTTCATCCACTTTTGAGTCGACTCAAAAATATTCCCTTCATCCACTTTTGAGTCGACTCAAAACTCATCCCTTCATCCACCCTCTCACTGGCAGGGCGGCAGCATCTTCATTCGCGGGCGGGGCATCCGCGACGCCATCTTCGACCACCTGCTCCACCGCCTCGCCGATGCACAGCAGGCAGGCACTCACCCTCGCCCTCACTCTCTGCGTTGCATGTGATCACAGCGCATCACTCATGCATCGTCGACCACCTGCTCCACCAACTCAGGGATGCGCAGCAGGCACGCACCGACCCTCGCACCCACTCACAGTGTCTCATGCGATCGCAGCACGTCACTCATGCGTATGTATGCAACTGCGACACCATCTTTGACCACTTGCACCACCGACTCATGGATGCACAGCAGGCACGCACTCACCCGGTCACATGCTCTTTGATCGCCGCCCATGTGCATCTTGCGCGCACTGCACATACATGCACACCCGCACACACGTGTGCACCTAAGTGGGAAAATTCGCGTTTCGCATAAATTCGCTGACGAATTTACGCTGGCGTAAATTCGCCGAACGCCAGGGCCCTGTTTTAAATTCGTTAGGAAATTCGTTCCGCCCGGGCAGGAAAAAAAAACCCGGGCAGGCCCAAAAAAAAATTCCCAGGTAGGGGGGGCATGGGGGGTTTCAGGGCAACTCTTTCAAACAAGAAAAATTTAGCACAAAATATATATTGCTTCTCAAAGTTATGGCAATAGCATGTTCGAGAGTTTGGGGGGGATCCTTCGCAACAACAGCCCTGCAGCAACCTACAGCACCATTAGAAACCATACTCACACATCCCCCACCCAACCCCCCCTACCATGCTCCCCTCTACATGTACTCATCTAGCAGCTCCGCATCATCCCCCTCCTCCTCCTCCCTCAATGCCTCCTCATCTAACTCCTTGTACCCTGCGGGGAGAGGCGGGTCAGGGATGTTCCCAACCACCACCCCCATCCCCTCCTCATGCCAGTTGCGCACAACGTTCCAGTTGTGCGCAACATACACCAAATCCGACAGCTTCTGAGACCCCAACCTGTTGCGCCGGGCGGTGTGGATAGCATCCCACACCGCCCAGTTGCGCTCGCAGGAGGCAGCCGACACAGGCTGTGTCAGCACACGGTGTGCAAGTGCCGTGAGCAAGGGGTGGTCGGTGCCGTGCCACCGCCACCATGCCTTCATGGTGTGCGTGCCCTCCTTGACCAACTGCCGGTCAGTAATGGCCTCCTTCTTGCCAAAGCTCCCCCTCAACTCCAAGTAATCCGCCAGCCCCTCCTGTATGACAAGGGTTGCACGCTTGGGCGGTCCCCTCTTCTGAGGGACCATGACCCCCTCGTAGTGGCGCTGCACAAAATCCTTGAACACGTTCGTGCACTCCACGTCGGGGCCGAATATGTCCGCTGACTGGTTGATCGGATTAAGAATCCGACCAACCACATGCAGCGGGCAGGCCAGGCTCCCATCCCAACGCGCTGTCACGATCTCATTAATAGCACTCTTAGCCGTCGACGTCAGCACCTCGTGGGTCTCCTTCTTCAGCAACGCCTCCATTTGCTCTGTAAGCAGCAGCATCTTGTCATACAGGCTTCCCATCATCCCCTTCTTCTCTGTGTCTGTCGCCCGCATGACATTGAATGGGAGCTCCAGCACCCTAGTGAAGAGCTCCGCCTTGGGCCACCACTCATTCTTCTCATCCAAGATCTGCTTCTTGAACGCATCTGCTGCTGCCTTCCTCGACCCCACCGCCCAATTCTTCTTCCACAGCTCACTCACCACCATTCCCTCCAGGATCTCGTGCACGGCAACAAGGCGGGACACAGCAATGTACTGTGTCCCGAAGCGAGTCCCTGCAGGCCTCAGCACCTGTAGCCCCTTTCCCCCCGCGACGTCGGGATTTTCAACGTACTGGCGGGTCCAGTGGTGGCTGCGCATGTACGTGATAATATCGCTCGCCTCCTTCACCACGCCAGCGGCCCAAGGGAGCTTCCCCACGTCCTCCATCAGCAGATCGAGCACGTGCGTGGCGCAAGGCACGTGCTCAATCTTGGGGAACTCCTGAATCAGTAGTTTGCAGGCGCTGTAGTAGTTGCTGCCGCCGTCAGTGCAGAAGGCAACGACGTTCGCGGCGCCCAGCTTCCCCACGATCGGCCGCAGGAAGCCGGCAATGTAGCCGCCTGTTTTTTTCTCCATCTTGCAGTCGACGCTCTCGGCGAAGACGGCGCCGCTGTCGTTGACGAGCATTATGTTCGCCTGCGGGCGGCCGCGCCGGTCAGTCATCATGTCGCTCGCAATGGTGACGCCAGTGGCGCTCCAGCTCTCGGAAATCCCGATCAGAGCGTCCTCGATCCGGCGGCGGCATTGCTGCAGCCCTGCTCCGCCGATGTACTTGCGTGACGGGGGCACATAGCCATTACCCGCCCTCGCAATGCTCCGCACGGCATTGCGCCAAAGCGGATGATCGGCATGGCGCTCGGGGAGGCGGAGGCCGGCGAACAAGAGGCAGATGGCTTCATCCGCTCCCTTCTTCGCCAGCACGCTCCCGCTCATGTACTCGCCAATACGCCCGCGCTTGCTGCTGGCGCTGGCGCCGCTGACCGCCTCAAGGGCATCCATATCAGCGCGATCCTGAGCGGCACGGGAGTCCACCTTGGCCTCCTGGAAAGCGCGCACGGCTGCGCGCGCATCCGTAGGGGCTTCAATGCATTTGCGCACTCCACGCTTGCCCATGCCCTCCCAATCCGTAAGGTGTTGAGCGCAACGAGATGCGGTGCCCATGAAGTCCGCTCCGCAGTGCTTGCACCAGTAGCGCTGCACCCTACCCATTTCCTTGCTCTTAAACTTAAAATGCTGAAAGATTACGTGCTTATCATCTCCAATGAAAGGGGTGGACGAAGAGGCCTCACCTGACGCATCGACTGTCGCGTCCCCACTAGGGCCCTGATCTAGAAGGTCCGACATCGCTTCTTGGATTCTTGTGAGGTAAGCTCACATCTGCACGTAAACTAGATCTACTAGCGCGGAGATGCGTGCGTGATATGGTTGCGTAAGTTGGGTGGTGGATGGGTTGGGATCTCTAGATGCGGGGGGGTTTGATGCGGTTGGGAGCGTGGGAGAGGTTGGGTGCATGTTAGAAGGTTCAAAAGTTAGAATCGCGAATTGGCGAGGCCACGGATGGCATCGCCAAGTCGTCGCGAATCGAGTGGAAAATTTTGTGTTTTTTTGTCCGGGCTGCCCCGAAAATTTGTCCCCAGCGTTTCGCGAATTTCAGGTCAATTCGCGTTTGCGAATTTACGCTTACGAATTTACGCAAAACGCTGGGGGACCCCAACGAATTTGCCCACTTAGGGCATGAGTGAGGAATGAGTGAGGCATGAGTGAGACATGAGTGAAGCATGAGTGAGGCATGAGTGAGACATGAGTGAGGCATGAGTGAGACATGAGTGAGACATGAGTGAGGCATGAGTGAGGCATGAGTGAGGCGTGAGTGAGGCATGAGTGAGACATGAGTGAGGCATGAGTGAGGAATGAGTGAGGCATGAGTGAGACATGAGTGAGACATGGTGAGACATGGTGAGGCATGAGTGAGGCATGAGTGAGACATGAGTGAGGCATGAGTGAGGCATGAGTGAGACATGAGTGAGGCATGAGTGAGACATGAGTGAGGCATGAGTGAGGCATGAGTGAGGCATGAGTGAGGCATGAGTGAGGCATGAGTGAGGCATGAGTGAGGCATGAGTGAGGCATGAGTGAGGCATGGTGAGACATGGTGAGGCATGAGTGAGGCATGAGTGAGACATGAGTGAAGCATGAGTGAGACATGAGTGAGACATGAGTGAAGCATGAGTGAGGCATGAGTGAGGCATGAGTGAGGCATGAGTGAGGCATGAGTGAGGCATGAGTGAGGCATGAGTGAGGCATGAGTGAGGCATGAGTGAGGCATGAGTGAGACATGAGTGAAGCATGAGTGAGACATGAGTGAGGCATGAGTGAGACATGAGTGAGACATGAGTGAGGAATGAGTGAGGCATGAGTGAGGAATGAGTGAGGCATGAGTGAGACATGAGTGAAGCATGAGTGAGACATGAGTGAAGCATGAGTGAGACATGAGTGAGACATGAGTGAGGCATGAGTGAGGAATGAGTGAGGCATGAGTGAGACATGAGTGAAGCATGAGTGAGGCATGAGTGAGACATGAGTGAGGCATGAGTGAGACATGAGTGAGACATGAGTGAGGCATGAGTGAGGCATGAGTGAGGCATGAGTGAGGCATGAATGAGACATGAGTGAGGCATGAGTGAGGAATGAGTGAGGCATGAGTGAGACATGAGTGAGACATGAGTGAGGCATGAGTGAGGCATGAGTGAGGCATGAGTGAAGCATGAGTGAGGCATGAGTGAGGCATCAGTGAGGCATGAGTGAGACATGAGTGAGACATGAGTGAGGCATGAGTGAGGGATGAGTGAGGCATGAGTGAAGCATGAGTGAGGCATGAGTGAGGCATCAGTGAGGCATGAGTGAGACATGAGTGAGACATGAGTGAGGCATGAGTGAGGCATGAGTGAGGCATCAGTGAGGCATGAGTGAGACATGAGTGAGACATGAGTGAGGCATGAGTGAGGCATGAGTGAGGCATGAGTGAGGCATGAGTGAGACATGAGTGAGGCATGAGTGTGACATGAGTGAGACATGAGTGAGGCATGAGTGAGGCATGAGTGAGACATGAGTGAGGCATGAGTGAGACATGAGTGAGGCATGAGTGAGGCATGAGTGAGGCATGAGTGAGGCATGAGTGAGGCATGAGTGAGACATGAGTGAAGCATGAGTGAGGCATGAGTGAGGCATGAGTGAGGCATGAGTGAGGCATGAGTGAGACATGAGTGAGACATGAGTGAGGCATGAGTGAGACATGAGTGAGTGAGGCATGAGTGAGGCATGAGTGAGGCATGAGTGAGGCATGAGTGAGGCATGAGTGAGGCATGAGTGAGGCATGAGTGAGACATGGTGAGACATGGTGAGGCATGAGTGAGGCATGAGTGAGACATGAGTGAGACATGAGTGAGGCATGAGTGAGGCATGAGTGAGGCATGACTCATGAGTGAGGCATGAGTGAAGCATGAGTGAGGCATGAGTGAGGCATGAGTGAGGCATGAGTGAGGCATGAGTGAGACATGAGTGAGACATGAGTGGCAGACATGATAGGAATCAGGCATGGCATGGCATGATAGGAAACAGGCATGGCTCGTCAGAGATGAGTTAGACATGGGCCTGAGAGCCAGCTTCACACATGGGTCAATGACCCTAGCCATGGCTCCCCTGTCTGGAGCTGCCCCCCCCCCTCGCACACACACTATCCTTTGTCGTTCCCTTGCACCTTGTACCATTTTACGGTGTAGGCTTATACTTCAAACTTTTAAGTTTGTACACTTTGTACCTTAGTTGTACCCTAGTACCGTAGTACCCTTGTTCCTAGACATGAGCAAAGATACAGGCCGGCCTGTGGCTGGCCCGTCCCGACCTTGGTGACATCGGGCTGGTTAGCCCGGAAAAGTCAGGCCGGCCCTCGGCCCTCGGCCGTGCCGGGCGGCTAAAAAACTGATCGAATGTTAGGTCGAACGTTATGCCCTAATCCACGGGGACCGGCGAAATGGGACCCAGCCCGTCCGTAGCGTACGGGCCAGGGGCCGGCAATCTGCCAGGGCTAGCCCGACTGGGGCCGGCTCGAGCCCGTAGACATGAGATTGCGACTCACGAGTCGACTCGACTCGACTCGTCGAGTCGGCATTTTTTTCTGTTTGACTCGACGCGAGTCGAGTCGAGTCGAGTCGAGTCGAGTCGAGTCGGCGAGTTGGCCACGAGTTGGCGCAAAATCGACTCTACCACTCGAGCCGAGTTCGAGTCGGCGAGTCGACCGACTCGAGTCGAGTCGAGCAGGCTGGACTCGAATCAGCGCGTCGACTCGACGGAATTCCGCGGCTCGTGTGGCTTTCTTCGTAGGGTGGCTAAAGAAGACACCCACGCCTCCTATAATTTGGAGACCTGGATTGGGTGTCGGAAAAAATTGACGGGTTTGGGGCTAACGAAAGGAGGGTTTGTTTTGGGTGCTGGCGAGAAGATGGACCAGTATGGGTGTTGGTGAATTGTTTTGGATGCTGGCGAAAAGAAGAGTGAAAGTCAAATGACATGACATTCCGCCAGCCAGAAATTGACGACAAGTAAAGGCCGTCATTTCTAGGGTTTGTTTTGTGCTCAGACCGTCAGGACTAATCGTCAGGACTAGTCGGTAGCTTCGTTCTACTATGGATGGTACAATCGTTTAGGAGGCTCCTTTTAAACAGATAAAGGCCCCCAAAACCCGCAGTACAGGGCGAGTCACTTCTGACTCACAAGTTGAAAGACTCGAGTCGAGCCAGTGCTGACTCGAGGTATGAGTCGGGCTAGGCAAAATTTCGACTCGACCTGACTCGACTCGACTTGACTCAACTCGTGCTCAGGTCCACGGGCCCGTCCCTTGCAAAGGCTGGGCCTCTGCCGGGCTGGCCGGTCCTGGCCCTTCCCTTGCACATGTCTACTTATACCCTCTCGCTCTACTTATCCAGCGAGAAGAATCCTCGCCCCCTCTCTCTCTCCCCTCCCACATTCCCCGTGGGACCTCTCAGGAGTCGGTCGGCCTGTTGAAGGTCCTCGGGACGTTTGGGCAGCGCAGCAGCAGCAACCTGAGCTACTGGGGGCTGGCAGGGTGCGTGAACAACGCGTCCATGCTTGAGTACAACGTTCGGGCGGACTGGATCGCCAACTACAGCACGGGGACAATCATTATGCTCGTGAACAACCAAGACAGGTCAGATGCTCGCTGCTGGGAGCAACGCAGGGGTGGAGGTAGATCGGTCCATGAGCTCCCAACCCACACATCCATGAGCTCCCAACCCACACATCCATGAGCTCCCAACCCACACATCCATGAGCTCCCAACCCACACATCCATGAGCTCCCAACCCACACATCCATGCTCTCCCAACCCACACATCCATGAGCTCCCAACCCACACATCCATGAGCTCCCAGCCCACACATCCATGCGCTCCCAACCCACACATCCATGAGCTCCCAACCCACACATCCATGAGCTCCCAACCCACACATCCATGAGCTCCCAACCCACACATCCATGCGCTCCCAACCCACACATCCATGAGCTCCCAACCCACACATCCATGAGCTCCCAACCCACACATCCATGAGCTCCCAACCCACACATCCATGCGCTCCCAACCCACACATCCATGAGCTCCCAACCCACACATCCATGAGCTCCCAACCCACACATCCATGCGCTCCCAACCCACACATCCATGAGCTCCCAACCCACACATCCATGAGCTCCCAACCCACACATCCATGCGCTCCCAACCCACACATCCATGAGCTCCCAACCCACACATCCATGAGCTCCCAACCCACACATCCATGCGCTCCCAACCCACACATCCATGAGCTCCCAACCCACACATCCATGAGCTCCCAACCCACACATCCATGAGCTCCCAACCCACACATCCATGCGCTCCCAACCCACACATCCATGAGCTCCCAACCCACACATCCATGCGCTCCCAACCCACACATCCATGAGCTCCCAACCCACACATCCATGAGCTCCCAACCCACACATCCATGCGCTCCCAACCCACACATCCATGAGCTCCCAACCCACACATCCATGAGCTCCCAACCCACACATCCATGCGCTCCCAACCCACACATCCATGAGCTCCCAACCCACACATCCATGAGCTCCCAACCCACACATCCATGAGCTCCCAACCCACACATCCATGAGCTCCCAACCCACACATCCATGCGCTCCCAACCCACACATCCATGAGCTCCCAACCCACACATCCATGAGCTCCCAACCCACACATCCATGCGCTCCCAACCCACACATCCATGAGCTCCCAACCCACACATCCATGAGCTCCCAACCCACACATCCATGCGCTCCCAACCCACACATCCATGAGCTCCCAACCCACACATCCATGAGCTCCCAACCCACACATCCATGCGCTCCCAACCCACACATCCATGAGCTCCCAACCCACACATCCATGAGCTCCCAACCCACACATCCATGCGCTCCCAACCCACACATCCATGAGCTCCCAACCCACACATCCATGAGCTCCCAACCCACACATCCATGAGCTCCCAACCCACACATCCATGCGCTCCCAACCCACACATCCATGAGCTCCCAACCCACACATCCATGAGCTCCCAACCCACACATCCATGAGCTCCCAACCCACACATCCATGAGCTCCCAACCCACACATCCATGCGCTCCCAACCCACACATCCATGAGCTCCCAACCCACACATCCATGAGCTCCCAACCCACACATCCATGCGCTCCCAACCCACACATCCATGAGCTCCCAACCCACACATCCATGAGCTCCCAACCCACACATCCATGAGCTCCCAACCCACACATCCATGCGCTCCCAACCCACACATCCATGAGCTCCCAGCCCACACATCGATGCGCTCCCAACCCACACATCCATGCGCTCCCAACCCACACATCCATGCGCTCCCAACCCACACATCCATGCGCTCCCAACCCACACATCCATGAGCTCCCAACCCACACATCCATGAGCTCCCAACCCACACATCCATGCGCTCCCAACCCACACATCCATGAGCTCCCAACCCACACATCCATGCGCTCCCAACCCACACATCCATGCGCTCCCAACCCACACATCCATGAGCTCCCAACCCACACATCCATGCGCTCCCAACCCACACATCCATGAGCTCCCAACCCACACATCGATGCGCTCCCAACCCACACATCCATGAGCTCCCAACCCACACATCCATGCGCTCCCAACCCACACATCCATGAGCTCCCAACCCACACATCCATGAGCTCCCAACCCACACATCCATGAGCTCCAAACCCACACATCCATGAGCTCCCAACCCACACATCCATGAGCTCCCAACCCACACATCCATGCGCTCCCAACCCACACATCCATGAGCTCCCAACCCACACATCCATGAGCTCCCAACCCACACATCCATGCGCTCCCAACCCACACATCCATGAGCTCCCAACCCACACATCCATGAGCTCCCAACCCACACATCCATGAGCTCCCAACCCACACATCCATGCGCTCCCAACCCACACATCCATGAGCTCTCAACCCACACATCCATGCGCTCCCAACCCACACATCCATGAGCTCCCAACCCACACATCCATGAGCTCCCAACCCACACATCCATGAGCTCCCAACCCACACATCCATGCGCTCCCAACCCACACATCCATGAGCTCCCAGCCCACACATCCATGAGCTCCCAACCCGCACATCCATGAGCTCCCAACCCACACATCCATGAGCTCCCAACCCACACATCCATGCGCTCCCAACCCACACATCCATGAGCTCCCAACCCACACATCCATGCGCTCCCAACCCACACATCCATGCGCTCCCAACCCACACATCGATGCGCTCCCAACCCACACATCCATGCGCTCCCAACCCACACATCCATGAGCTCCCAACCCACACATCCATGAGCTCCCAACCCACACATCCATGCGCTCCCAACCCACACATCCATGAGCTCTCAACCCACACATCCATGCGCTCCCAACCCACACATCCATGAGCTCCCAACCCACACATCCATGAGCTCCCAGCCCACACATCCATGCGCTCCCAACCCACACATCCATGAGCTCCCAACCCACACATCCATGAGCTCCCAACCCACACATCCATGAGCTCCCAACCCACACATCCATGAGCTCCCAACCCACACATCCATGCGCTCCCAACCCACACATCCATGCGCTCCCAACCCACACATCCATGCGCTCCCAACCCACACATCCATGAGCTCCCAACCCACACATCCATGAGCTCCCAGCCCACACATCCATGAGCTCCCAACCCACACATCCATGAGCTCCCAGCCCACACATCCATGAGCTCCCAACCCACACATCCATGCGCTCCCAACCCACACATCCATGAGCTCCCAACCCACACATCCATGCGCTCCCAACCCACACATCCATGAGCTCCCAACCCACACATCCATGAGCTCCCAACCCACACATCCATGAGCTCCAAACCCACACATCCATGAGCTCCCAACCCACACATCCATGAGCTCCCAACCCACACATCCATGAGCTCCCAACCCACACATCCATGAGCTCCCAACCCACACATCCATGCGCTCCCAGCCCACACATCCATGAGCTCCCAACCCACACATCCATGCGCTCCCAACCCACACATCCACGCGCTCCCAACCCACAAATCCATGCGCTCCCAACCCACACATCCATGAGCTCCCAACCCACACATCCATGCGCTCCCAACCCACACATCCATGAGCTCCCAACCCACACATCCATGAGCTCCCAACCCACACATCCATGCGCTCCCAACCCACACATCCATGAGCTCCCAACCCACACATCCATGCGCTCCCAACCCACACATCCATGAGCTCCCAACCCACATATCCATGAGCTCCCAACCCACACATCCATGAGCTCCCAACCCACACATCCATGAGCTCCCAGCCCACACATCCATGAGCTCCCAACCCACACATCCATGAGCTCCAAACCCACACATCCATGAGCTCCCAACCCACACATCCATGAGCTCCCAACCCACACATCCATGAGCTCCCAACCCACACATCCATGAGCTCCCAACCCACACATCCATGCGCTCCCAACCCACACATCCATGAGCTCCCAGCCCACACATCCATGAGCTCCCAACCCACACATCCATGCGCTCCCAACCCACACATCCATGAGCTCCCAACCCACACATCCATGCGCTCCCAACCCACACATCCATGAGCTCCCAGCCCACACATCCATGAGCTCCCAACCCACACATCCATGCGCTCCCAACCCACACATCCATGAGCTCCCAACCCACACATCCATGCGCTCCCAACCCACACATCCATGAGCTCCCAACCCACATATCCATGAGCTCCCAACCCACACATCCATGAGCTCCCAACCCACACATCCATGAGCTCCCAGCCCACACATCCATGAGCTCCCAACCCACACATCCATGAGCTCCCAACCCACACATCCATGAGCTCCCAACCCACACATCCATGAGCTCCCAACCCACACATCCATGAGCTCCCAACCCACACATCCATGAGCTCCCAACCCACACATCCATGCGCTCCCAACCCACACATCCATGCGCTCCCAACCGACACATCCATGAGCTCCCAACCCACACATCCATGAGCTCCCAACCCAGACATCCATGCGCTCCCAACCCTCACATCCATGCGCTCCCAACCCACACATCCATGAGCTCCCAACCCACACATCCATGAGCTCCCAACCCACACATCCATGAGCTCCCAACCCACACATCCATGCGCTCCCAACCCACACATCCATGAGCTCCCAACCCACACATCCATGCGCTCCCAACCCACACATCCATGCGCTCCCAACCCACACATACATGAGCTCCCAACCCACACATCCATGAGCTCCCAACCCACACATCCATGAGCTCCCAACCCACACATCCATGCGCTCCCAACCCACACATCCATGCGCTCCCAACCCACACATCCATGAGCTCCCAACCCACACATCCATGAGCTCCCAACCCACACATCCATGCGCTCCCAGCCCACACATCCATGCGCTCCCAACCCACACATCCATGCGCTCCCAACCCACACATCCATGAGCTCCCAACCCACACATCCATGAGCTCCCAACCCACACATCCATGAGCTCCCAACCCACACATCCATGCGCTCCCAACCCACACATCCATGAGCTCCCAACCCACACATCCATGAGCTCCCAACCCACACATCCATGAGCTCCCAACCCACACATCCATGAGCTCCCAACCCACACATCCATGAGCTCCCAACCCACACATCCATGAGCTCCCAACCCACACATCCATGAGCTCCCAACCCACACATCCATGAGCTCCCAACCCACACATCCATGCGCTCCCAACCCACACATCCATGCGCTCCCAACCCACACATCCATGAGCTCCCAACCCACACATCCATGAGCTCCCAGCCCACACATCCATGCGCTCCCAACCCACACATCCATGCGCTCCCAACCCACACATCCATGCGCTCCCAACCCACACATCCATGAGCTCCCAACCCACACATCCATGAGCTCCCAACCCACACATCCATGCGCTCCCAACCCACACATCCATGCGCTCCCAACCCACACATCCATGCGCTCCCAACCCACACATCCATGAGCTCCCAACCCACACATCCATGAGCTCCCAACCCACACATCCATGAGCTCCCAACCCACACATCCATGCGCTCCCAACCCACACATCCATGAGCTCCCAACCCACACATCCATGCGCTCCCAACCCACACATCCATGGGCTCCCAACCCACACATCCATGCGCTCCCAACCCACACATCCATGAGCTCCCAACCCACACATCCATGCGCTCCCAACCCACACATCCATGAGCTCCCAACCCACACATCCATGAGCTCCCAACCCACACATCCATGAGCTCCAACCCACACATCCATGAGCTCCCAACCCACACATCCATGAGCTCCCAACCCACACATCCATGAGCTCCCAACCCACACATCCATGAGCTCCCAACCCACACATCCATGCGCTCCCAACCCACACATCCATGGGCTCCCAACCCACACATCCATGCGCTCCCAACCCACACATCCATGGGCTCCCAACCCACACATCCATGAGCTCCCAACCCACACATCCATGAGCTCCCAACCCACACATCCATGAGCTCCCAACCCACACATCCATGAGCTCCCAGCCCACACATCCATGAGCTCCCAACCCACACATCCATGAGCTCCCAACCCACACATCCATGAGCTCCCAACCCACACATCCATGAGCTCCCAACCCACACATCCATGAGCTCCCAACCCACACATCCATGAGCTCCCAACCCACACATCCATGCGCTCCCAACCCACGCATCCATGCGCTCCCAACCCACACATCCATGAGCTCCCAACCCACACATCCATGAGCTCCCAACCCACACATCCATGCGCTCCCAACCCTCACATCCATGCGCTCCCAACCCACACATCCATGAGCTCCCAACCCACACATCCATGAGCTCCCAACCCACACATCCATGAGCTCCCAACCCACACATCCATGCGCTCCCAACCCACACATCCATGAGCTCCCAACCCACACATCCATGCGCTCCCAACCCACACATCCATGAGCTCCCAACCCACACATCCATGAGCTCCCAACCCACACATCCATGAGCTCCCAACCCACACATCCATGAGCTCCCAACCCACACATCCATGCGCTCCCAACCCACACATCCATGAGCTCCCAACCCACACATCCATGCGCTCCCAACCCACACATCCATGAGCTCCCAACCCACACATCCATGAGCTCCCAACCCACACATCCATGCGCTCCCAAGCCACACATCCATGAGCTCCCAACCCACACATCCATGAGCTCCCAACCCACACATCCCTCACTCTCGACCTCTCACTCGCCGTTGACCCACATTGTGCTTCTTGCATTAAACTCTTCCCTAGATTACTGAAAGCTTACTTTGCTTGTGGCTGACTGACAGTTCATTGCGTCCCAACCCACACATCCATGAGCTCCCAACCCACACATCCATGAGCTCCCAACCCACACATCCATGCGCTCCCAACCCACACATCCATGAGCTCCCAACCCACACATCCATGAGCTCCCAACCCACACATCCATGCGCTCCCAACCCACACATCCATGGGCTCCCAACCCACACATCCATGCGCTCCCAACCCACACATCCATGGGCTCCCAACCCACACATCCATGAGCTCCCAACCCACACATCCATGAGCTCCCAACCCACACATCCATGAGCTCCCAACCCACACATCCATGCGCTCCCAACCCACACATCCATGAGCTCCCAACCCACACATCCATGCGCTCCCAACCCACACATCCATGAGCTCCCAACCCACATATCCATGAGCTCCCAACCCACACATCCATGAGCTCCCAACCCACACATCCATGAGCTCCCAACCCACACATCCATGAGCTCCCAACCCACACATCCATGAGCTCCCAACCCACACATCCATGAGCTCCCAACCCACACATCCATGAGCTCCCAACCCACACATCCATGCGCTCCCAACCCACGCATCCATGCGCTCCCAACCCACACATCCATGAGCTCCCAACCCACACATCCATGAGCTCCCAACCCACACATCCATGCGCTCCCAACCCTCACATCCATGCGCTCCCAACCCACACATCCATGAGCTCCCAACCCACACATCCATGAGCTCCCAACCCACACATCCATGAGCTCCCAACCCACACATCCATGCGCTCCCAACCCACACATCCATGAGCTCCCAACCCACACATCCATGCGCTCCCAACCCACACATCCATGAGCTCCCAACCCACACATCCATGAGCTCCCAACCCACACATCCATGAGCTCCCAACCCACACATCCATGAGCTCCCAACCCACACATCCATGCGCTCCCAACCCACACATCCATGAGCTCCCAACCCACACATCCATGCGCTCCCAACCCACACATCCATGAGCTCCCAACCCACACATCCATGAGCTCCCAACCCACACATCCATGCGCTCCCAACCCACACATCCATGAGCTCCCAACCCACACATCCATGAGCTCCCAACCCACACATCCCTCACTCTCGACCTCTCACTCGCCGTTGACCCACATTGTGCTTCTTGCATTAAACTCTTCCCTAGATTACTGAAAGCTTACTTTGCTTGTGGCTGACTGACAGTTCATTGCGTCCCTCCCTTAACTCGCAGACCCCTGGTTGAGAACATCTCAGGGTATCCGATTCGCTCGGTCCTGGGGCTCGCGTCCCCGGAGAAAGATTATTACGCAGTCAACGTGGTTGGCAGTGTGAACCCGGACTTTCCCCTGCAGCCCTTCACAGACTTCTTCCCTCTTGTTCCGCCAAACCTCGCTGATAGCATACTTGCTGGGAAGAGCACTGCTAGCCCACCCGTTTCTGTGGGCCCTGGCTACGTGGCAAGTGGTGCGTGCTGCCACTCACTCCGCCCTCCTTTCGTTGCACCTTTCTCCATTCTCAAGTGCTCCGCAGTCATGTGAATCAACCCCACGTTGACTTGCATGTCATGTGAATCAACCCCACGTTGACTTTCATGTCATGTGAATCAACCCCACGTTGACTTGCATGTCATGGGTTTGTTCAGTCCAGCCAGCCAACTGCTGATCCATTTCGTGCTTTGCTGTTTATACGCTCTTGATTTGGCCGACTGTGGTCAGTTCGACCACATTGTAGAGCAAGCAGACCTAGTGCTCATTTTTGCCAATAGGCTTTCGGAATGAAAGAGCCTTCTCTTCCGTCCAACGTTCCCATCGGTTCCCTCCCTACTGTCCTCACAGTGTTTGTCATTCCCATCTTCCGCCAAGCACTGCCAGCTAATGCCACTGTACAGCAGATGAGGGAGAGCTTCAGCACTGTATGGGCTGGGGTGATACATCTCCAAGGGAGAGCCCGAGATATTCTCAACATGCTTGGAAATGGTAATTAAGTATCCTCCCCCTGTGCTCTCCCCTCGACCCTCCTCTCACCCTTCCCCATTCCCCCTCTCGGTCCTCCACTTCACTCTTCCCCCCTCCCCCCCACCCCCCTGCCCCTCCTCTTTCGCTCCCCCCCACCCTCCTCCCCCCCCTGCCCCTGAGGAGGGCCCCCTCCTCCTCCAACGTTACCTCGTTGAGTCGAGTAGAAGAAAGGATACGGGAGGCTTGGCTCGGTTGCTCATGTCCTTGTTTCACCCTTGTCTACGCTTGCCCTTGTTTCACCCTTGTCTACGCTTGCCCTTGTTTCACCCTTGTCTACGCTTGCCCTTGTTTCACCCTTGTCTACGCTTGCCCTTGTTTCACCCTTGTCTACGCTTGCCCTTGTTTCACCCTTGTCTACGCTTGCCCTTGTTTCACCCTTGTCTACGCTTGCCCTTGTTTCACCCTTGTCTACGCTTGCCCTTGTTTCACCTTGTGCGCCATCTTGTGTCTCGGATGGGCTTTCCACGCACGTCACATGAATCACGCATTTTATCTGTGCATCCTTTTCCGGTTCCCATCCTTGCAACTGAAAGAATCTGGAAAGTTGTATTAGCAGTGTGAATACAAGCATACATAGGATTCTAGGGAAGGGGGAACAGTGCCACATCCAGTTGGGGAAACCCCAATTATGGTTGGGTCGCCCAACCACTATTTGGGTAGACCAAATGTGGTTGGAGGACCAACTACCATTGGCGCCACTTGCGTTTCTCAACAAGTGTGGGCTTGGTGCTTGGGAACTCCAATCACTTGGGGGTTGGATTGGCACCCCTTGCATAAGTGTGTACACCACAAATTGGTGTACACCTACAGAGCACACTAACCTAGCATGTTATAATAGATATAATCTAACAACAACAACCTCCTTTCTTTTTTCACCTTGGCTTGATATGTCTTGCATCCCCCAAACACTACACATCTTTTCTTTCGTATTGCAGGAAGCACCGCTTATTCGTTTGCTATGTACGACACCACAGAGCCAGGCAAGCTCATTCAGGTGTTTGGCCCAGACCAACCAGTGCTGGAGAAGGGTTCCGCATTTCCGTTTGTGCTGCCCGTGCCTATCGTGGCCCCACCCGAGCATGTGGAGCCTTTTCCCGAAGACCTGTTTGGTCAAACCTATGAAGCGCACTGCAGGTGAGTAGAGGCACGAGAGTGCACCATCGTTTTCCACTCATATGCATCCTCAACAGAACAAACAAGGCAAAAAGGTTCCGGAAGGGCTAGGATGGCGAAGTAAGTGTGAGGTGAGTGACTCTGGTGAGGCTAGGCATGGGCAAATGGCCTGGCCGCTGGTCCTTTGCGGTCTGCTCGAATCGAGCCGGCCCAAGTCCGCTCAGCGAGCCGCGAGTTGCTCGCCCGGCTCGACGCAGCGAGACAGGCCCGGCTCGCCGACTCGTCGGCTTCTGGACGAGCCGCGACGGGGCTCGTCGACGACGAGCGGATCTGGCTGGCGAAATGCCACATCTGCAAGTACAGGCTAGGAGGCAACTACCTCTAGCCCCTACACTCTACAGTTTCCTACCCACCCCCCCCTTCTCCCCACCAGGGGTGTGGAGGGGAGGATGTCCCTTAGCTGCAGGGGGCATGGTTCCGCGGCATCTGGGAGCGTGCAGCCTCGATCCTTTCCCAAGCCTTGCTCGAAGCGGTTCTGCTGCCGCTGCTGACTGAGATGCGTTTGAGGAAGGCTAAGGGTTGGGTCAGGCCTGAGCTAGTGGCTGAGCTAGTGGCTGAGCTAGTGGCTGAGCTAGTGGCTGAGCTAGTGGCTGAGCTAGTGGCTGAGCTAGTGGCTGAGCTAGTGGCTGAGCTAGTGGCTGAGCTAGTGGGGGGGCTGAGCTAGTGGGACTAGTGGCTGGCTGAGCTAGTGGCGAGTAGTGGCTGAGCTAGTGGCTGAGCTAGTGGCTGAGCTAGTGGCTGAGCTAGTGGCTGAGCTAGTGGCTGGAGCTAGGTGGCTGAGCTAAGTGGCTGAGCTAGTGGCTGAGCAGTGGCGACTAGTGGCTGAGCTAGTGGCTGAGCTAGTGGCTGAGCTAGTGGCCTGAGCTAGTGGCTGAGCTAGTGGCTGAGCTAGTGGCTGAGCTAGGTGGCTTGAGCTAAGTGGCTGAGCTAGTGGCTTGAAGCTAGTGGCTGAGCTAGTGGCTGAGCTAGTGGCTGAGCTAGTGGCTGAGCTAGTGGCTGAGCTAGTGGCTGAGCTAGTGGGCTGAGCTAGTGGGCTGCAGCTAGTGGCTGAAGCTAGTGTGGCTGGAGCTAGTGGGCTGAGCTAGTGGCTGAGCTAGTGGGCTAGCTAGTGCTGAGCTAGTGGCTGAGCTAGTGGCTGAGCTAGTTGGCTTTGAGCTAGTGGCCTGAGCTAGTGGCTGAGGCCTAGTGGCTGAGCTAGTGGCTGAGCTAGTGGCTGAGCTAGTGGCTGAGCTAGTGGCTGAGCTAGTGGCTGAGCTAGTGGCTGAGCTAGTGGCTGAGCTAGTGCTGAGCTAGTGGCTGAGCTAGTGGCTGAGCTAGTGGCTGAGCTAGTGGCTGAGCTAGTGGCTGAGCTAGTGGCTGAGCTAGTGGCTGAGCTAGTGGCTGAGCTAGTGGCTGAGCTAGTGGCTGAGCTAGTGTGGCTGAGCTAGTGGCTGAGCTAGTGGCTGAGCTAGTGGCTGAGCTAGTGGCTGAGCTAGTGGCTGAGCTAGTGGCTGAGCTAGTGGCTGAGCTAGTGGCTGAGCTAGTGGCTGAGCTAGTGGCTGAGCTAGTGGCTGAGCTAGTGGCTGAGCTAGTGGCTGAGCTAGTGGCTGAGCTAGTGGCTGAGCTAGTGGCTGAGCTAGTGGCTGAGCTAGTGGCTGAGCTAGTGGCTGAGCTAGTGGCTGAGCTAGTGGCTGAGCTAGTGGCTGAGCTAGTGGCTGAGCTAGTGGCTGAGCTAGTGGCTGAGCTAGTGGCTGAGCTAGTGGCTGAGCTAGTGGCTGAGCTAGTGGCTGAGCTAGTGGCTGAGCTAGTGGCTGAGCTAGTGGCTGAGCTAGTGGCTGAGCTAGTGGCTGAGCTAGTGGCTGAGCTAGTGGCTGAGCTAGTGGCTGAGCTAGTGGCTGAGCTAGTGGCTGAGCTAGTGGCTGAGCTAGTGGCTGAGCTAGTGGCTGAGCTAGTGGCTGAGCTAGTGGCTGAGCTAGTGGCTGAGCTAGTGGCTGAGCTAGTGGCTGAGCTAGTGGCTGAGCTAGTGGCTGAGCTAGTGGCTGAGCTAGTGGCTGAGCTAGTGGCTGAGCTAGTGGCTGAGCTAGTGGCTGAGCTAGTGGCTGAGCTAGTGGCTGAGCTAGTGGCTGAGCTAGTGGCTGAGCTAGTGGCTGAGCTAGTGGCTGAGCTAGTGGCTGAGCTAGTGGCTGAGCTAGTGGCTGAGCTAGTGGCTGAGCTAGTGGCTGAGCTAGTGGCTGAGCTAGTGGCTGAGCTAGTGGCTGAGCTAGTGGCTGAGCTAGTGGCTGAGCTAGTGGCTGAGCTAGTGGCTGAGCTAGTGGCTGAGCTAGTGGCTGAGCTAGTGGCTGAGCTAGTGGCTGAGCTAGTGGCTGAGCTAGTGGCTGAGCTAGTGGCTGAGCTAGTGGCTGAGCTAGTGGCTGAGCTAGTGGCTGAGCTAGTGGCTGAGCTAGTGGCTGAGCTAGTGGCTGAGCTAGTGGCTGAGCTAGTGGCTGAGCTAGTGGCTGAGCTAGTGGCTGAGCTAGTGGCTGAGCTAGTGGCTGAGCTAGTGGCTGAGCTAGTGGCTGAGCTAGTGGCTGAGCTAGTGGCTGAGCTAGTGGCTGAGCTAGTGGCTGAGCTAGTGGCTGAGCTAGTGGCTGAGCTAGTGGCTGAGCTAGTGGCTGAGCTAGTGGCTGAGCTAGTGGCTGAGCTAGTGGCTGAGCTAGTGGCTGAGCTAGTGGCTGAGCTAGTGGCTGAGCTAGTGGCTGAGCTAGTGGCTGAGCTAGTGGCTGAGCTAGTGGCTGAGCTAGTGGCTGAGCTAGTGGCTGAGCTAGTGGCTGAGCTAGTGGCTGAGCTAGTGGCTGAGCTAGTGGCTGAGCTAGTGGCTGAGCTAGTGGCTGAGCTAGTGGCTGAGCTAGTGGCTGAGCTAGTGGCTGAGCTAGTGGCTGAGCTAGTGGCTGAGCTAGTGCTAGTGGCTGAGCTAGTGGCTGAGCTAGTGGCTGAGCTAGTGGCTGAGCTAGTGGCTGAGCTAGTGGCTGAGCTAGTGGCTGAGCTAGTGGCTGAGCTAGTGGCTGAGCTAGTGGCTGAGCTAGTGGCTGAGCTAGTGGCTGAGCTAGTGGCTGAGCTAGTGGCTGAGCTAGTGGCTGAGCTAGTGGCAGCTAGTGGCTGAGCTAGTGGCTGAGCTAGTGGCTGAGCTAGTGGCTGAGCTAGTGGCTGAGCTAGTGGCTGAGCTAGTGGCTGAGCTAGTGGCTGAGCTAGTGGCTGAGCTAGTGGCTGAGCTAGTGGCTGAGCTAGTGGCTGAGCTAGTGGCTGAGCTAGTGGCTGAGCTAGTGGCTGAGCTAGTGGCTGAGCTAGTGGCTGAGCTAGTGGCTGAGCTAGTGGCTGAGCTAGTGGCTGAGCTAGTGGCTGAGCTAGTGGCTGAGCTAGTGGCTGAGCTAGTGGCTGAGCTAGTGGCTGAGCTAGTGGCTGAGCTAGTGGCTGAGCTAGTGGCTGAGCTAGTGGCTGAGCTAGTGGCTAGTGGCTGAGCTAGTGGCTGAGCTAGTGGCTGAGCTAGTGGCTGAGCTAGTGGCTGAGCTAGTGGCTGAGCTAGTGGCTGAGCTAGTGGCTGAGCTAGTGGCTGAGCTAGTGGCTGAGCTAGTGGCTGAGCTAGTGGCTGAGCTAGTGGCTGAGCTAGTGGCTGAGCTAGTGGCTGAGCTAGTGGCTGAGCTAGTGGCTGAGCTAGTGGCTGAGCTAGTGGCTGAGCTAGTGGCTGAGCTAGTGGCTGAGCTAGTGGCTGAGCTAGTGGCTGAGCTAGTGGCTGAGCTAGTGGCTGAGCTAGTGGCTGAGCTAGTGGCTGAGCTAGTGGCTGAGCTAGTGGCTGAGCTAGTGGCTGAGCTAGTGGCTGAGCTAGTGGCTGAGCTAGTGGCTGAGCTAGTGGCTGAGCTAGTGGCTGAGCTAGTGGCTGAGCTAGTGGCTGAGCTAGTGGCTGAGCTAGTGGCTGAGCTAGTGGCTGAGCTAGTGGCTGAGCTAGTGGCTGAGCTAGTGGCTGAGCTAGTGGCTGAGCTAGTGGCTGAGCTAGTGGCTGAGCTAGTGGCTGAGCTAGTGGCTGAGCTAGTGGCTGAGCTAGTGGCTGAGCTAGTGGCTGAGCTAGTGGCTGAGCTAGTGGCTGAGCTAGTGGCTGAGCTAGTGGCTGAGCTAGTGGCTGAGCTAGTGGCTGAGCTAGTGGCTGAGCTAGTGGCTGAGCTAGTGGCTGAGCTAGTGGCTGAGCTAGTGGCTGAGCTAGTGGCTGAGCTAGTGGCTGAGCTAGTGGCTGAGCTAGTGGCTGAGCTAGTGGCTGAGCTAGTGGCTGAGCTAGTGGCTGAGCTAGTGGCTGAGCTAGTGGCTGAGCTAGTGGCTGAGCTAGTGGCTGAGCTAGTGGCTGAGCTAGTGGCTGAGCTAGTGGCTGAGCTAGTGGCTGAGCTAGTGGCTGAGCTAGTGGCTGAGCTAGTGGCTGAGCTAGTGGCTGAGCTAGTGGCTGAGCTAGTGGCTGAGCTAGTGGCTGAGCTAGTGGCTGAGCTAGTGGCTGAGCTAGTGGCTGAGCTAGTGGCTGAGCTAGTGGCTGAGCTAGTGGCTGAGCTAGTGGCTGAGCTAGTGGCTGAGCTAGTGGCTGAGCTAGTGGCTGAGCTAGTGGCTGAGCTAGTGGCTGAGCTAGTGGCTGAGCTAGTGGCTGAGCTAGTGGCTGAGCTAGTGGCTGAGCTAGTGGCTGAGCTAGTGGCTGAGCTAGTGGCTGAGCTAGTGGCTGAGCTAGTGGCTGAGCTAGTGGCTGAGCTAGTGGCTGAGCTAGTGGCTGAGCTAGTGGCTGAGCTAGTGGCTGAGCTAGTGGCTGAGCTAGTGGCTGAGCTAGTGGCTGAGCTAGTGGCTGAGCTAGTGGCTGAGCTAGTGGCTGAGCTAGTGGCTGAGCTAGTGGCTGAGCTAGTGGCTGAGCTAGTGGCTGAGCTAGTGGCTGAGCTAGTGGCTGAGCTAGTGGCTGAGCTAGTGGCTGAGCTAGTGGCTGA